GAAGGCATCCCCTGCCATCCACGACAAATTTTTTCTTAGGCATTAGAATAAATTTGAACAGGTCAACTCAGGCAGCAGTTACCTTGGTGTGTCAGAAAGCAGTAATGAAGTTAATGTAATCTCCTGTCCAGAATTATATTAGAACCTTAAAACCTGCAAAATTATCCTATTGCTGCCAGGATAAAAGTCCTTTTTAAGGACATCTGTGAAGCCCAAGGTAGACTTTTTTCCTAGTGTCTATAGGAAATGCAAATACTTGCCTTTCTTTTGAACTTCTCTCTCTTTATGTGTGGATTTTAATTCTTCTGCCATGTCTCCAATAAATGTACAATATATTATGCAATTTATTTTTAGCACGATCAATGTGTTAAAATCAAAATATAAGAATTAATTAATTTATACCTTTCAAGGCCAGCAAGACAATACCACTTACTAGTACCGCACTACTTCAAAAACTGCCTTCTTTCTGCTAAACCAGTGAAAGCTACTAATTTAATTCCAGTGTTGAACACCCTTACATCTCCACAAAAAATTATCAAGTTTCATTCACATGGACACAAGCCCTCAGAAAATGAGCATTCCTTGTTCCCCACCCGCACCCTTCGAAGAGAACACCCCCTGCGAATTGATGGGAAAGAGCATTCTGCAAAAGAAAAATGGTGAAATCGTACAACAATATTTTCAAGATAGGAGAAAAACAACTATTACGGTACAAGGCAAATTCATTCGATGGAAGCAGGCAAGTGATGTGCTATGAAAGACCATTTAAATCTTAACGCCCATGTCAAAACCTGCACAGTGACATTTCTGCTTTCAAATTTAAACTGTGAAAGACTGAAACCATCCTATACTCATTAATTTTCAATGTACCTTTTTCTTTGACTTTTGAAATACTTGGAGATTTACTATATAGTCTGGAGAGGTATGGTGTTTATCAGTTCTGAACCGATGAGGTTGTAGCTAATGATGTTAATTTCTGAAAAGTCAAATGGCAATTTAAATTGTTAAAGTAGTGCATGATAAGGTTATCTATAGCTACTCAGGAGAACATGTACTGCCAGTCTCACTGTCTTCAACATAAAAATATCATCCTTCAAAGGCATGTGGCTACTGGTTCTAATAAGTACACACACCTCCATTCTACACTTTTCTAACCAGGATATAGAAGATCACATCCAAGCTCAAACTCTACATGAGCCTTCTGCTCAGCAGTTCATATTACGCCAACCAAAAAAAACCACCCCCAAAATATTATGCCCATTAAAAAAAAAAATAGCATAACCAGACTGTAAGGACAGAGATCTGAAGAACTTTCATATTCACTCCTGAAAAACGGCAGAGCTCAAAGTTCAGAAGCAGACAAGGTGTAAGAATAAAGTAGTTTTCCATTAAGAATCACTCACATTGGACATTAGGAAAAGGGTCTTCACTGAGAGGGTGGTCGGCCACTGGAAGAAGCTCCCCAGGGAAGCGGTCACGGCACCAAGCCTGTCAAGAGTTCAAGGAGCATCTGGACGATGCTCTTAGTCAGATGGTTTAGTTTTAGATAGTCCTGTAAGGAGTAGGGAGTTGGACTCGATGATCCTTATGGGTCCCTTCCAACTTGAAATGCCAGTTCATTTTGCCATGAAAATGGGCAAGCGTTTAATTCACCTCCATCATCTCTCAGGAAACCGTATCTCCCAGGTTTAAAGACCAAAACAACACTAAAACAAGAAACTTGATTCATCTTCTATTTACAAGTGAGATGTTCCTTATTAGAGAGTAAAATGTCTTGTTGAGCTAAACGTTATGTTTGTTTTTAAATACTGTTAGTCAACAGAAATATGAAACGATAAAACAGTAATTTAAACATTTTATGACCCTGAGCTCAAGTCCCAAGAGTGAAAAAAGTTTGACATTATTAGTGCTCTGGAGTGCCTCACTGCAAGTTGCATATTGTTTTACCGTATTGTCAAAGGCACATTACTGACACACTCTGCAAGTAATAATCAAACCAAAAAGTGTCAACACAACACTATGTTTGCACAAATGAAACAGCCCTGCACAACAGCGTGTGTCTCAAACTCCTAAAAAAATGGTACTCGATCCCGCTGACGGTCGCACCACTGGTCATTATAATGCAAAGCAACAGGCAACAAATATATTAGAAAAATACTGATCTTTTCAGCTCAGAGGTAAACTTGGTCTGTCACTTACTTGGCTAAAACTGTCAAAGGGAAGCACTATCTTTTAAACTGCATACCCTGAGCTCTACCTCCTCCTCTCTTCAATAAACTGAAAATAGCTATTACGTGCTTGAGACACACAACAGGGAAAAAACAAAAACATCCAGATGGACTGCATTGTTGAGATATGAACTAATTTCCCAGTGATAAAAGCCTAAATTCAGCTTAAAGGACTCTTTCAGAAGTCCATAATTTAACATTTGGTTGGGAATACAAGGTGGGCGACGGTGACTTTTGATGTGTGCAGCAATACAAATTAGACCACCTAAGTAGTATCGGAGCTGTGTAAATAGGACAGTCAATAGTTCAGGCAGGCATGACAATACAAAACAAATAATCTAAGTTAGTCTGGGATGATACACTGAACAAACAAGCTCACACAGCTAATGCCTTTAGTAAGGATAAGGCACTGTGCGGTGGACTAGCAGCTTAAACTTCCAGAAAAGATGCTGTCCTTTAAACTGCTCGTCTTACAATGCTAACCTCCCGATTGTGTGTTAATTCTGTTCAATTTCCTCCCTTAAAAATGCAATGTTAAAAATTCGGTAAAACTTTGCCTTAGGCTGTAGGATGTCTGGAAGTAAAAAAAAAAATAAAAAAAAAAATTTGTCTCACTTTCCAGAAACATTCAAACCAAACCCAAAGTTGGTATAATTTGTCTTGCTCTTCTTGAAGGAAGCATTTTAGCAACACAAACCAACTCCCTAACTGACTAAATGCAGTAAAGCTGATACAAAACACTAGGCTTAGTTTGTCAACATAAGCAGAAAGTAGCAAACACACCTGAATACATTCCTTAGTGTTGTGCAAACTCTGTAGAAGGTGTGCGTAGCAATGCAAATTGAAGAAGTGAGCAGCTGCAGCAAATATCAACCTTGAATTTCCTGCCTTTTGTAATGCACATTTTCCTTTTCTTGCTTTATATTATGTACTTTATAAGGTATCACATTGCAACGCTTTTAGACCAGTATGTCAGCTTTCGGTATGTTTGTCCCAGATAATGAGGAGAATCTGTTGACATCATGTCACATTATGACAGACTGTTAAGCGGGCTAGATAGTTTAATCATCTTCCACAGAAAGGAAGTTCATAAGTCTCGGAAGCAAAAAATACAAGGTGTATCATTGCTATGAACTAAATAATAGGAAAAAACTGTCCCAGATTTTATAATTCTGAATAGCAGCCTAATACTGTAAATTTATTGAGAAGAAAATCATTTTGCAAAACTGGAATACAATTGATTTACCAAGAATTTTTTAGCATTTAAAAATCATTTAATAACAGGCCTGACCATAAAATAGTGGCACAACAGAAACGTAGGTTGCAAATGTGACGTGGAATGCATAGAACCTCCGGGGCGGACCAGCCACAGTAAATACAACAGTCATAATCATGAGTGTAAATTCACTTTCATAACTGGCTTTTTCTTCTAGAAAGTAAGAGGGTGTATATAAATATTATAGAGAAAACATTTAAAAACCATTGTTTTATTTTTCAGAAATGCTGGAAGGGGTTTCAACTCGGTCAAAAATGAGTAGGTTTGTTGGGCCAAAACTGCCCTTTCTGGTTCCTAAAGTTTCCTATGCTTGTTATGAAAAAAAAATATTAATAATAAGGTGGTAGAAAATGGTGAAAAACATCAACTAAGGAGCTAATTCTCAACAAAGGACGTGGTGATTCAAAACACAGTGCTTAACAGCATTAACCTTGAGGAAGTAACGCTAGGAACAATTTCCACCATTTCTGCTGTCTTGAAAAAAACGAACCCCATTAGCCACAAAACCCCAGTTCATTACCAAGTAGAATAGTAAGTTTGACATCTGCCCAAGAGGATCTCTGGATGTATAGTTTAGTGGGATTTAATTTAAAAAGCAGCACAGAAGAGTAGGAATTTCAAGGAAAAGAGGACTTACAGTACATTGCCTTGGGCCTCTGTCTTCATTAAAGGTGGCAACAAATCCCGAGATTGCATAATGCTGCTATATTTAGTTTTAGTTGAAGAGAAATACAAACCTGAAAAAATAACAGCTACTCACTGGTTCAAACAGATACAGTTGGCATTCCAGCCCACCATCCCTGCACTAAACTTGTCATTTCCCCCTCATTGCCTCCCAGGATTATGAAACAGTGACATGCCTACGATTCAAAGTTTCCTATCCTACAACTGTAAAACTTAGATTTGCCAGAAGTATGACTACGACCCCTAAAAATCATCCCATAATTTTATGCACATTACATTTATGGGATAGAGCTTCACATGGTACATACAGTGCTATCAGCATTTTCTTAACAACGCAACTGAAACAACATTGTCTCATTCAAACTCCTCTTCTCACTCTTACAATCAACCAGTCAGAAACACCACATTTATGATCTCACCTTAATTCCCCTCTCCTAACAACTCCAGGAATTCCAAAAAGCAATCTGAAGAGCAGCATTTGATATGACCCCCAACTTAAAATCATACCATGAAAAGCCACTAAAACAGTCTCTCCTACATAAAGAGAAAAGATGCTTGGCTGACTTGAGATACTTGATTTCCTCTCTGCTGTCAGATCTCTCATTCCCTTGTGACTCTTTATTCCCAAACCAGCAGGTCCCTACATGTAAGGGGCTCCCTTTCTAACCCATCTTATACCTCACTCCAGCTGAACTAAAGAACACCTGTGGAGCAGGGACACGGTATCCCAATGCCTTTGTCCAGAAAGCTTGAGAGAAACTGTGAAAAGGGAAATGTAAGGTTAAAAAAAAATTAAAAAAAGCAGCCCTACTAAAATAAATTACGTAAAGTTCTGAAATCAACATCATTTTTGAGGCAACCTTTCCAGAGACCTCTTGGGTTCCTTTCTTCTCTGAAGCACCTTTTAAGTTTATGGTTGTAAGAATAACTTTAACTATAGAAGCTATATGCATCTTTTAAGAATCACATTTTGATGATTATAAAAATTTATCTATTATACAACATAGGTCCAGCTACACTGAAAAAATTACACCGCTTATTGAAATACATTTCATTTTAGAAACAGACTACTAAATAGGTCTATACAAAAACCTCTAAAATAATTTCTGTAGTAAAATAAAGAGTGTGTTAGGAGAGCTACACAAACAAGAAATTTTTTTGTCTTTCTTTATAATGCTCAAATATACCGTGATACGTGGCTGGCTCACTCCATAGCCGGCACCAAAAGCTGAAAAGAATCCATTACAATACACAGTGATACAATTAATGCTCTGTATTAATCTCACAGCCTTTCCGATTAGTACAAAGAAAACCAGGCCTATCTCCTCTTTGAGGAGAAGTCCAGGATATAAAAGCAAGCATACCTCATCAGCTGATATGAAATTATAAAATTCCACAAGTCTCAGTATCTGAAATTTATAAAAGTCACCAGTAAAACGCAAGCAAATTGGGTTTAAGTCCTGTTGGTTCCCAGGTTCAAATGAGCACTCCTGATCCAAAACAGGATTTCCTCGTTTGTTAACTGATTCAAGGGAAAAATTAGGACCATCTGCTGGGCTAAGAGAAAGACAAAGATTCTCACCAACTAACCCTCTGTACTTCCACAAGGGCATGTTTCCATGTGCATAAAATGGGAAAATAGCTGGCAGGAAGCAAAGATGTTAGTGGTGCTGTGCTGAACTGTTTTTTTCTGCCAGATGTCGCAGAAAGTTGTCCTCACTCTGGCCTCTGTGATTTAAAGGCTCACTCTTAAAAAGAGCTGGAGGAGGAGGTAAATGAGGAACCGGGGGGACCGGGAGATGATGTGGATGGTGAGGATGAGGATGTAGGTGAAGGTGTGAATATGGGTGGGGAATGGGGCGTGGAGGAAGTGTGCTCACTGGGTTCAGGTTGATAGGTGGAGTTGGGGTGGTGGGTGTGTTCACTACAGCAGGGACTGTGGTGGCAGGAGAAGTCGTGGACAGTGGGATCTGGACAGCAGATGACACATTGACGGGGCTGGTAACACGGAAGCACTTCTCCTTGTGTGCCTTGAGCATGTTGGAGAAGCGAAACCGCTGGCCACACACATCACATGGGTAGGGCTTCTCCCCTGTGTGAGTTCTGCGATGTCTCTTCATGTTTGGGCGGCTGGTGAAGCTCTTCCCACAGATTTCACAGATAAAGGGCTTCTCTCCTGCCGAACACAGATATAGCAATCGGTTAGGCACAGAACATCTGCTAATACTTCTTCACGCTATTTATGCAAACAAACTGCATCCTACAAAAGCTACTGTGACTGCTACTTTCAGCAAAGAGACAGCTGTTCCACCAAAGTCCTCAGTCTTTATGAAATCCTCTCCCACCTCTGCATTGTGATGCACGGGACAATCTTTTACAAGGCTTTGGCAAGGGGTTCCTTCAGACCAAAATAACAAAGAAGTAAGCCTAACCTCTCATTTTTCCCCTAGAGTGAATCACAGGACTATAGACAGTTCAATTTAACGGTAAGTTAATGTATTAATCTTTCCCATCTGATTTTCTAGGTTGGATGACAGTTTTGATCCCAAATGCCATGGAAGGGAATACAGCTCAAAGCATAGGAAGGTTTTGTCCTGGAGGTACTTGTGCTTTTTGTTTGGTAAGTTCTTACCAGTGTGTGTTTTCATGTGCTCATCAAAGTACTGTTTCATGTTGAAGTCTTTGCCACACCACTGGCACATGAACTGTTTGTGTCCGATGTGGATGCTCATGTGGGAACGCAGCTGGTACTTGTACTGAAACCTCTCATCACAGTTCTGCAACAGAAAAACAGCAACCCATGATATTCAAGCATCACACATCAGGAAGCAAGGCAGTCATGGGACAGTGCTCAAACGTACCATGTAAAGGAGTAAAGAATACCCAAACTAGTATACACACAGACCCTCACACAAACACAGAATTTAAATTATTTAGCGAGAGTAGAATCTGGTCTGTACTAAAAGGTCTGCTGGCACAGGAGCCTTGGCAAGGAGCGTGGAACAGTCACAACCTTTAGTTGACACAGCTGTTGGCAAAAGCCCGGCAGAGACACGGTTATGCCAACAGAAAAGTGCTTCTGTTGGCTTAAGGCATCATTTGGAGGTTTTGCAGCTTTGCCAGCGATCTCTGCTGGACTACGGCATGCCTCCACTAGAGGACTCTGCTCACACAGCAAAACCACCAGCAGCTCTACAGCAGGCTTGTTTTTCAGCAAGCCAGTCTGTTTTCCCGCTATTATTTATTGGTATGAGGTAATACGAGTCTTATCCCCAGGACTACTCTGGCTGGACTACCGCCACTACTACAACATGTCTGGCTGGAGTTGTGCCCCACTTTGTGGACAGGGTGAGACACCAGACCTGCCCTGGAAACAGGAAGGGCTCTGCACCCTCTCTGCCTCCATCATGTGACACCCACATGCATCCCCATCAGATGACCGAGACATTATCTGCCCCAGACATATGACTGGGTAAGTCTGTCCCATGCGATCTCCTTCGCGAGGGCAGGCATAAAATATACAATCCCAAAAGCGTGTGAATGCATCACTGAGATGCTCTCCCCCATCCCAACACACATACACCCAGTTTAAGAAATGCAAATTCAGAGCACTGTCTTAAATCTCAAGGAGGTAACAGTTTGCAGTTGAGGACAATAATTTTTCCCCGCAAGTGAAAATCAAGCAGTAATTAGTTTATTTTCACTGTCACCACTGCTATCTGTTTCAAGTTACTGGGCAGGACAGGGAGGATTAATGTAATTTGCATTAGGCTTTGCTAGGAACACCGAAGGAAAACTAAGATTCAAATTCTGCTGTAGCGTGGTGTAGTCATGGAGAAAAGCACAACAGCCAGCAGTCAAAGCAAACCAAATACAGCTCAGTTTGAACTGCTGCTAGAAGCACTCCTGCTGTGCTCTCCACATGCAGAAGAATTTTACCCAAATTTTTATGATACTGCACCTCATTTGCAAGTCAGTCAATTCGGTTTCCACCTACATTCCCTACTGACAGTGTTGCTAATTTTATACCTTATGCTACTGTATCTAAACATATTAACAGTTGCTACCTCACCTCACATCTGAAAGGTTTCTCTCCAGAATGCTGTAGGGAATGTACTTTGAGAGACATACTGCGTTTGAATGATTTTCCACAGGTTTCACATGTAAATGGCATGTCCTTTGTGTGTGCTGCAACACAACAGTACATTAGAGAGGGTCATTCAAATGCAAACAGTTCTTTAACCGATTTTCTCCTCTAACTCTGAGCAGGAAAATGATTACTACTGAACAACTTACAAGTATATACACATGTGTACACACATACATGTTTTGCTTGCTGCCCAGTACTATAGACTTGAACTTTTTGCTAATGATAAAGCGCAAACAACTGTGTTTGCCTTATTATTTTTCTCCTTAAAACAGCAATTACGAGTTAAGCACCACAAAGACACATTATGAGGCAGAACCAACAGAAGCGTTGATCAATAACTCACCAACCATATGTTTCCGCACATGGGCCATGGTGTAGAACTTTTTTTCACAAATCTCACAAGAGAATTTCTTTTCTGCATATCCGTGGACAATCTTGATATGTTCATGAAGGGACCAGAGCTTCTTGAATGATTTATTACAGGAAACACACTGAATGAATGGGATAAATAGAAGGAAGTTTAAATTAGAATGATTCAGTGATTCAAGTTTGTGGAGTTAAGCCATGTATCTTCCTCCTGAGTGACACAATGGAGCCCCAAAACAAGTCAAAATGCTGTATACTGTCTCAGACTGTATTTCAGCTTACATTTACCGTTTCACTCGTGAAACAACTATAGTAAGAAAAGCCACATCAAGCAAGATTAGAGAGGATGTTAACACACTGTATTTTGGCGTCACCTGAGGAGCACCACAGCCACTGCGCTCTCTTATTTCCAAAACACAGCAGCATAGATAGTTGGATGCAGCCCTCAAGGAGCTAACACAGAGAAGACAACTTCACAGGCACTGATGCTGCTGGCGTGGGAAGAAGCCAACAGAGGCAGAGGCCAACACCACCAATTTGCCTTAAACCCATCTGCACGTCCAGCCCTGTCTTTCACAGGAGCACTGTGACCCCTCAAACTCCAGGTCTAACAGCCCATGAACTAGCCAAAGCGCTCTCATCCTTTTAGCTCTACACAGAAGACAGCTTCCATCTTGCAGCTCTGGACCATGCAGAAAGTCTGGTACACAGCTTATACAGCAAAGCAAGTTGTCACCTCGGTCTTTCGTGTTCTGACTCTTCATTTATATGTATCAGTAGCACTGTAGGTGTAAAATGAAAATATGCAAACAATGTTTTAATCTCTTCCCACATCTACTGTGAAACGTCCAGAAAGTCAGCGATGAGCAGGATCCACAGGCTTTCACGCATCTCTTTTTTCCCCCAATAGTTAGTTAGTTCTTGCTAAAGACTTGATTAAAAAAAATCCTTGTACAATTTTGAAAATTCCAGAATAATCTTAGCTGTAAAAGTTGATAGCAGCCACCTATGTGAGGATATCAAGTCATTTTCATCTTTGAAGTGAAGAGGAAGCAATTGTGGCTTGTTATTTTTTGTTAGCTGTTGGGGTGTTCGGGGTTTTTGGTGTATCTTCATTTTCCTGCCTATCAATTACCCTCCTTCGCTCAAAGTAGGAAGGGCTGTATGCTGTTCACCGCAGAACTAGCAAATACTATGCCTTCTGCCTACTGGAGTTGTTTCCTTGCTGCACAGGCAATTTGTGCTGCTTCCACAGTGCTTGAATCTCTCCAGGCTCGGAAACTCTGGTACACTGCTCACCATGCTGACTCCAAGGAGAGCCTCTGCCTCCAAAAGTACCTGCTTGAAGGCATGTGAGGAACAAACTGTAGCCCTTGGGGGGGGGAAACCCTAGAGAGTAAAGCAATGCCAAGAAATGATCAAAAATCCTTCGATTTAAGGTTAAGCAAGCCCTTGAAGCGGTCAGTCTACAATTTAATTGACGATCAGCAGCAAGTAACTTAGAACATTGATATTGAGAGCTACGACACAGAGAGTCTAAAGTGACAACAGGAATTCTGTGAAGGTTCTAATTTTGAAAGGATGAAAAACAGAAATTACCTGGGAAAACAGATATATTCTATCACTTAGATGAAAAATATAGAAAGGAGCCAGCCATGTTCAATTACCACTTCCATAAACGAAACCATTTTTTTCCTAGACAAAGCTCCATATCCCCCTTGACATATTAAACCCTACATTAACATAAAACTTTCATATCCCCTTACTCCTTTTGCCAAGTGTAATAAAAACAAATTAGCAAGCAGCTGTGAAACATCACAAATGTCAGGATGGACAAAAATAGTTGCTGATTATAAAACACAATTGGTACAATTTCTTCTTTTCCTATCACTTGTGGACATAGGAACGTAACCCCTCAGAAGCATGTGTGTGCATGGCTTACAGGATACTTCTTTTCATACGACACATTCAAACTATTTGTGAATTCCTGTTTAAAGTCAAAAGATTTTATGCTGTGAACAAGCCACCTGGATGACAGGGCGTGCCTTAAATTTACATTTAAATGTTTTCTGCTACACTAATCTTTTGAAGTATTTATTTCAAAAACTGCAAGGACATACTGAAACATTTATGTATTTTACTAACTATGCTCAAGACTCACTATCTTATATTATACTCCTTCCTTCAGTCTTCCTCCTATGAGCTGAAACATAAGGAAAAATAGCACAGCGTTATATAGAGCTGCATTTGAGTCTTACAGCAAAGAGAAATTGCATTCAATATTTCAATTCTCACACAGTGGGAACTGAATACCAATTCAGTTTAGCACTTAAGCACACAGACAATTAAAAAAAAAATCTTAAATCTTTCTGGAAAAGTTCACTGGACAGACAAAAAACTTGTTGCCCTACAAACTCTCTACCTTTCAGCTGCACAAAAATTGAACTCAAGCTGCTTCATGTTGACAGTGGGATTATTTCAGAAGTAGGTGGCAACACTGTGCCTAGTTTAACAAGGAAAAAAAAATGCACGTTCGAATCGCCGGATAAAACAGTGCCCCAGTTACACGGAACATAGATGCCTATGGGCTAAGTACAAACCACAGATGAATCAAACTCTGAAACTCTTTCCACAACTTAAACTTTAAAATTGTTCTATTACAACACAGGCTTCCATTGTTGTATAAAATTAAAAGCTGCAAATCTTCTGGTAAGAAAGACCAGAGATCTTTATATTATCAATGAGATTTACTGAGCTTTTTACACTGGGGAAAGGGCAGGTTCATAAACAGACATAGTCACTGAATTCATACGCTTCCATATGCATACATGAACACTTACTGTAAATTACCTGTATGTAATTATCTCAGTAGAATTTTTAAAAGTTACATTTTAACATAAGTTCAAATCCTGACTTCACTAGTTTCTTTCTCACCTGCTTGCCTCTCTGGTATTTCACAAATTTCTGATTCCAATACCAGCAAAGTGCCACAATTCTGTTCTCCCTTGAAATCTTACCTGGACATAACTCTGTGACTGAGCTTCAGGACACTGAAACACTTGGAACTTTAAAGCTAGTGATAGCTGCAGGTGCTCAGCACCTGAAGGAGGGTTTATCCTGTCATAGCGCTTCACTGCAAATGCACCTGTTTTCAGGCTAGTTACTTGAGTCTGACATTTGTTAAAGTAGCTTTGCATTTTCCCCAACTCGTAGTTAAATACTAGAGTAACTCTGCTAAAGCAGACGTCAGTTGTACACTGTTCCCTCCAATTTACTTCTTTTGGAGGACACCAAAGCGTTCATACGGAGAGACAAGGTCTCGGTCAGTATCTGGTCTGCGCAAAAGATTTCCCCCTCTGAAGTGTCCACTAGCTGTATCCAGGGCACGACAGAAGGTATGGAAATCTGGCAAGCAGGTGAGCAAACCTACCTGGATATTTTTTTCACAGTCTGTCTGCTGGTGAAGGGACAGCTCACTTTCTAGAACAAATTTCTTCCCACATTTGTCGCAGATCTGCATGCGCCTGTGAGTGACGTTCATGTGCTTCTCCAGGTACCAGCGTGTGTTAAACACCCTGGGGCACTTCTCACAGGTTAAAGTCTCCTTCTCTTCACACTTTGATTTCTGCACAGGTGCCTTGGGCTCCTTTGCAGCTTTCTTCTTACGCTTGGGGGGCTCCACGCTCTTTCTACGACCCCTTGTAGTTCTGGGTGGTGGGGAAGTTGTGGCTGCTGCAGCAGATGCAGCTCTCCTTGTTCTCCTTTGTGCAACACTAACTTTTTCCACTCTTTTCTCTTTTTTCTTCTGCCTCTCATTTTCCTCATAATCATTACTGTCTTCAGTGGCCTCGTCCCCACTGTCACCCTCCTCTTCCTCACTGCTGGTCTTAAGAACAGCAGTCTCTTTGGACTGGGAGGGGACACCCTTCTCCCCTTTTGATACATTTAATGTTTGGTTGTTAAGGTTTACCTCTACTATAATCTGCTCCCTTTTGTAAGTCACTTCATCTTCCTCCTCTTCTTCCTCCTCAGTGTCGTCAGAGTTCTCTCTATCTTCTTTCACAGCCCGGACCTCTCCTACCGATCTGTTCTCCCTGAAATATGGCTGCTCCTCTCTTTCATGGAGATGTGGTTTACTCATTTTGCTGTCCACCAACACAGAGTAAGGACTTCCTGACTCTCTCTTGAACACTTTGGTGGACAAATCAAGTTCCTGGCTGGCACCATGATAAAATGTGGGTGGCACTTGACCACGGCGACTGTCCTCTTGCGCCATCCCTGCTACATGTGCGGCACAGTTTTCAACCAACTGTTGGCAAGAATTGGCTGTTTGACTCATTTGGGGGGCCCTGATTCATTGAGCACCTTTAATCCCAGAAAACCAAGTAAGCAGCTTTAAATCAGGATGGACTCTCAAGGTCGATGCCTGTTCCATCTACACAGAGCGAATACAATATGATTTTCTGCTGGTGTTTAGCACTGACGTGTAGGTCACAGAATTCTGGTATTATAGCAAGAGCAGAGCAGTAGCAATTATTCTTCTGGAGAAAGCTGCCAACGAACCGTTGAACATTTTACCTATAAAAGACAAGAGAGAAAACAAGGTCCATTAAAAAAAAATAAATCACTAAAATCATCAGCAAATTCTTTTGTTTTGAGTTTGTACAACTAGGGTAAAGCACAGGGTATATTATCTATGAGGGTGCACTGTCCTATAGCATTGTCTCAAGCAAAACTGGCAGTTAGGTACAAATATGTGCACCTTTTGGGGGGATCAGAACTGGTACTAGACTCCCGAGATGTGGAAATCAAGGCAATGAACATTCTCCACCCACCAAAGAACACCGCCACCTGCCTCAACGCTGGGCTAAGATGCTGATCTGCATTTCTGCTGGATCTGATGGCCCCAAAACCCTGCTCTGCTCCCACACGCCTCTCCATCAACAAGGTGCATACCTACACAGAAATACCTCTTCTCCTTCTGTATCTCCCAAAGGGAGCCCACCCTTACCCAGAAAGAGGACACATTATACCAAACAGCATTCCATTAATGTAGATATGCATGAAGAATTTCAATGGAGACATTTTCAACTTGCAGCATTAAATCAGATTAAGAACACCGCGTCCCCTGCTTGTTTCCACCTCAGAGATCCCTCATACAGCCTTTTGATTTAAAGCACTTATTCTTTTGTCTCATTCTCCCTTCCCCCAGCTACTCAGTCCTCAATGCAGCAGCCAAACAATATTACATTTGCCCATCTAAATTTCACTTGCAGTTATCCAAGTTGGAATTTGACCAGGACACTGTTACTTCCTCTTGCAAAAAATGCCACGTGATCCCTAATGAATACAAGTAATCAATCTCTCACATCTATTTTTCACCAGGACAATTACATTTTGGTGGCACAGTATTACATCAAGCCAAGATTTTTGGCTGTGCAGATCAAATCAGAAATATATTGGAAGTCCTGACCAAACAGCATACTCAGAGCTAAACCTGTGACTAGAGGGTGCAGAAGAGGAGAATTAAGGACAGAGTGGAAGAGATATCCCATGACTAGAGGGCAGAGAAGGGCCCTAACAGAAAATGGATGGATCCAGCAGTTAAATACGAAGAAAACCAGACCCTCACTATCAGAATCTGAAAATTTCCTTGAGGCTGTAAGCTTGGGCTAAGTCCAGCAGACAGGTATAGAACACTTGGATTTCACAGAATCACGTGGCCATTTTTATTAGTAGCAGTTTTGGAGCAATAATAAAAAACAACCAACCTAAAGCAGTATTACAGATACGGATTTCTATGATAAATTTTACTTCCACACCATATTGAGTTAAAACACGCAGTAACTTCCATCTAAACGTTTTGATAAAATTCATATATTATCGTTTCTATTTTAGTCTTCCACCACAAATCTCCCCCTTTGAAGTGAATTTAATTCAACAGAAGATGAACCTACCAATGGTCTCAGTGGTTTGAATAATAAAGACGACTGAACTGTGCCCTACAATCTTTGTGAAGAGACACACTGGGGAAAGCGACAGACCAATAACCAGCCATCTGATTACCAGCTTAAAGTTAATTAAAATAGATTCTTGGGACAGTTCTCCAGTATTTCCAAATGCAGTCAAAAAGTGCCCTGAAGATGCCTGATGGAGTGACCTGCAGACAGACTCACAGCACCACAACAGCGGGGTCTATTCCT